GAAGATGCCCACGGCCACAGACACGGGCGAAACATTAGGAAGAACAATCTTCAGAACATGGTCAAAGAGCCCGAAAAACCCACAACAACCATCAGAACCCTGCCCCGTTGGCCTGCATTCTTCTCCTGCTGGTAAGGACTATAAGTGCAATATAATCTGCAAATGGCATTTTGGAAAAATAGGTCTGTTGTAGGTAGTTTAGCATTATATTACTTGTTCCATGTTTTTTAAACATGGAAAGCCATCCTGTGGTCAGAAACGCTCAAAGGTAAGAGAGCCCACCATAGATGGGAGCTTCTTCAGTGCGAGATACGGAAGGTTGTATCACAAACCGTTCCAATGACGGTAGCTGTGGCATCCGCCCAGGTCATGAATATTCATAGGCTATCTGCATAGACCAATGAGAGTGCTGGAGGGGCGGAGTCATGAGATACAGTGGTGCCCCGCATAGCGAGGTTAATCTGTTCCGGATTAACCTTCGCTATGCGAAAACATCGCTGTACGGGGCAGGAAAAGCCTATTGGAACGCATTAAACTAAGTTTAATGCGTTCCAATAGGCGCCAAAACTTACCCCTCCAGCGATGTTTTCGCTGGTCCGGCAGCCATTTTGGAGCTGCCGAACAGCTGTTCGGCGGCTCCAAAATGGCCGCCGGACCAGCGAAAACATCGCTGGAGGGGTAAGTTTTGGCGCCAATTGGAACGCATTAAACTAAGTTTAATGCGTTCCAATAGGCGCCAAAACTTACCCCTCCAGCGATGTTTTCGCTGGTCCGGCAGCCATTTTGGAGCTGCCGAACAGCTGTTCGGCGGCTCCAAAATGGCCGCCGGACCAGCGAAAACATCGCTGGAGGGGTAAGTTTTGGCGCCAATTGGAACGCATTAAACTAAGTTTAATGCGTTCCAATAGGCGCCAAAACTTACCCCTCCAGCGATGTTTTCGCTGGTCCGGCAGCCATTTTGGAGCTGCCGAACAGCTGTTCGGCGGCTCCAAAATGGCCGCCGGATGCCCCAATCGTCGCAAAGCGAGTGCGGTGATTGGGGCAGCTCCGTATAGCTATCCCCAAAAAGGGATCGCTATACGGATTCTTAGTTATACGGTGTGCTCATTAAGCGAGGCACCACTGTATAAGAGACCCAGCAGGAGGATGAGGAGGAGCTGAGATAGACATAGACAGGGTTTTAGAGATAGGGACTTTGAGGGAGAATTGAAGGGTTTGGTGTAGTTTTAGAGTCTGGGCGGGAGAGTGATGGTTGAGAGTGTTTGTTCAAGAGTTAACAACATGGCTTGTTCTGTCAACACCTGTATCAATAAACAATTTCTGTTTGGTTCTATTTAAAATGACCTATGGCCTGGACCTGTATCATTCATAATAGATAATGTTGATGTCATCAACTACATAGTTCTCCATTCTACACAGGTCCTCTGAGGAAGCAGTGTCTCTTCATCCTCACCCTGGCAGGTGGAGAGAGTGTTTTAGCTGCTGCTGACTCTCCTGGCATAATGGAGCTTCTGGAGATCAGCACGGTGGGAGATGAGACCAGGTCTTCTCCATTCCCTAGATCAGTGGTCCCCAATCTCGGGCCTCCAGATGTTCTTGGACTTCAACTCCCAGAAATCCTGGCCAGCAGAGGTGACTGTGAAGGCTTCTGGTCATTGTCGTCTACGAACATCTGGATGATCACTGCCCTAGAGGGCTTCCTCACTTCAGCTGAGATGCTGGGTGGGACTATTAAGGGCCATCAAAGCACATTCCAGAGACAATGGAACTCACCACGGTTGAGTTTTGCATATTTAGTTTTTTTCTCCCTTTGTGCAGGTAATAAAACAAGAAACTAGATTGGGGAGGGAGGGACATCCGTGTCCACCCAGTCTGGTGACAAAAGGCTTCTCAATACCTTAAAATACTTCCCACTTAAGAATCCTCATTCTGTTCTTTAACCAGCAGGCTCTACCTCCAGAGACCTGGGCTCAGGGAAGTCACAGGGCAGGACCCAATTTTTGACAAGTTGAAAACCAGTCCTCTAAGCCTCTGGGACTTGTGGAGAAGCCGGAAAGTTTCGGAATGTTTACTTACATTGTTTCTTTCACTGAAAAACAAAGCAAAGCTCATATAAACAAGCGTAATAAATGTGTAGCAATATATCTGTGAAGATTCTCAGCCATCCAGGTGAGGTTATCTGGAAGTTGAGTCATGGCACCTGGACTTCTTTCTTATTAGGTTGAAACGTTTTGCTACTTATCCAAGTAGCTTCTTCTGTCTGAGGAGAGTTGGTAGGAGAGCCTTGGTAGATCCTCTACGTTGGTTTCACTTCCCCCTGGTCTGAATAGGCTCCTTAGAAAGACAAAGGACTGGGGGTGAGGGATAATCCCACCTCTGCAGTCCTTCACCCGTTGTCATGGGTCATTAACGGTCATTAATATTGGTATTTCTGGTGTGTGTGGTCCTAATCTTTCTGGGGAGGGATGAAATGGCAGCATGAGAAATAGGAGACAGATGGTATTTAAGGCCTCCACCCCTGTTGAGTGAGGGATTTTCTCTATGCGCATGTATGGCCACCCTGACCCTTCTCTCAAGCCACCTATCTTCTCAGGTCCAAAATGAGTACACCTTGGTTGTCAAATGAGTGTCCTTTGTCCTTCAAATGAAGGAACACTGCATCTGAGCCGTTGCTCGTCCTGTGCAGGGCCCTTCTCCTGTTTAGTGGCTGCTGAGTTTCTCCAACGTAGAGCTCCAAACACTCGTTTTTGCATTTGACCGCATACACTATATTGCTCCTGTTGTGTTTTGGTGTCCGGTCTTTTGGGTGGACGAGTCTCTGCCTTGGTGTGTTTGTGTGTTTGGAGTGCACAGGTATGTGGTATTTACCAAAAATCCTTTTGTGCTTTTCAGACACACCCACCATGTAAGAAATCACCAGGTCCTTCCATCGGCTCTGGGTCTCAAACTGTTCTATTGTCCTCCCGGGACATTGCCTTGTCGAAGGACCATTTTGGATACCCACAGGCCGCCTTCTCGGCTTCTGTGGACGTGGGGCTGTTTCTGGCTCTGTGGTTTAGTGTCTTGATGACCCCTTGTTTGTGTCGTAATGGGTGATGGGACTCAAATCGCAAATATTGGTCAGCGTGTGTAGATTTTCTGTAGATTTCTATTCCTAAACTGCCGTTGGATCCTATGATGACTGCACAGTCCATGAAATGAAGCTTCTAACGAGCCTATTCAGACCAGGGGGAACTGAAACCAGCGGGAGGATCTATCAGGGGTTTCCTACCAACTCTCCTTAGACTGAAGGAGCTACTTGGAGATTGAAATGTTTCAGCCTAACAAGAAAGAAGTCCAGTTACCATCACTCTGCTTCCAGAAAAGCATAATAAATGATTTTCACAGGTGCCTGCACTGTTAAAACAATTGTCAGGTCACTAGATTGCCTCAATCTTTGGGTTAGTAATTGGTTATTTAAAAATATATATGTATATGCAGATTTAGGAAGGTTTATAGCATGAGGCTGAAAGATAGCTTGAATTCTGAACTATTTTGTGGTGATACGGAACCACAGTTCCTGCACTTCTACCAAACAGCAGTCACCAGCAAAAGGGTGTGTTCTAGCTTGTCCTCAAAACTGCTGAACATAATATCCATATGAAAACAAATTCATGATCTTCATTATTTTTCTGAGATTTTTAAACACTCTGACTTTGCATTATTCTGTTTTGCTTTAGAGGCATTTATACCATCGTACAAGATTTTGGCAAGGAAATATTGATCGTTGGTTACCTTCTGTACTCATCCAGATCCAGCTTATCCGATTTGGTGACCACCACGGCAATGTCAGTACAGTTCCCTGCTAGGTACGCCTTGATGGATTCATCCAGCAATATCTGCTGGTCACGGTCTCCTATGGCACGCTCCATGTCACTGATAATCCAGATGACTGAACATTTATCAATGTTCTATTTTTTTTAAAAAAAAACAGAAACAAACCTCATTATATTAAAGGTACAAATTCTGTCTTGTATGTTTCTCTAATATCTTCAAACCTCAACCAAAACCACATGGTCCATCCAACAACCTCAAACTTTGCAGAGGAAACGTCTCTTGCACAATACCCATGCAAAACCATTAGTTATTAAGTCGTGTCTGACTCTTTGTGACCCCACAGACAGGACCACGCCAGGCCCTCCTGTCTTCCACGGCCTCCTGGAGTTGGGTCAGATTCATTCTGGTAGCTTCAATGACATTGTCCAACGATCTCATCCTCTGTCGTCCCCTTCTCCTCCTGCCTTCACAATTTCCCAGCATCAGGGTCTTTTCCTTTTCTCATGAGATGGGCAAAGGATTGGAGCCTCAGCTTCAGGATCTGTCCTTCCAGTGAGCACTCGGGGTTGATTTCCTTCAGAACGGATAGGTTTGTTCTCCTTGCAGTCCAGGGGACTCTCAAGAGCCTCCTCCAGCACCACAATTCAAAAGCATCCATTCTTTGGCGGTTAGCCTTCTTTATGGTCCAGCTCTCACTGGGACACAGTGGCGCTGTGGGCTAAATGGCAGAAGCCTGTGCTGCAGGGTCAGAAGACCAGCCGTCGTGAGATCGAATCCACGCAACAGAATGCGCTCCCGTCGCTTTGTCCCAGCTCCTCGTCAACCTAGCAGTTCGAAAGCATGTAGATGCGAGTAGATAAATAGGGACCACCTCGGTGGGAATCACGGCGTTCTGTGTCTAGTTGCGCTGGCCATATGACTACGGAAACAGTCTTCGGACAGACGCTGGCTCTATGGGATGAGCATTGCGCCCTAGAGTCGGACACGACTGACTAAAATGTCAAGAGGAACCTTTCGTCGTCTAGTCGTTTAATCGCGTCTTACCCTTCATAACCCCATAGACCAGAGCACGCCAGGCCCTCCTATCTTCCACTGCCTCTCGTGGCAATTGTGTCAATTTCATGTTGGTTGCTTCGCAGACACTGTCCAGCCACTGTTGCCCCCTTCTTCTCTTGCTGTCACACTTTCCTAACATCAAGGTCTTTTTCAGGGAGTCCTTTACCTTTACCTTTTTCTCACTTCCATACATCGCTACTGGAAAAACCATAGCTTTGACTATGCAGACTTTTGTCGGCAAGTTGATGTCTCTGCTTTTTAAGATAATGTGTAGGTTTGTCATGGCTTTCCTCCCAAGAAGCAGGCATCTTAATTTCGTGGCTGCTGTCACCATCTGCAGTGATCATGGAGCGCAAGAAAGTAAATCTGTCACTGCCTCGATATCTTCCCTTTCTATTTGCCAGGAGGTGAAGGGACCAGTGGTCATGATCTTGGATTTCTTTTTTTTTATGTTGAGCTTCAGACCGTTTTTTGCACTCTCCTCTTTCACCCTCATTACAAGGTTCCTTAATTCCTCCTCACTTTCTGCCATCAGAGTGGTATCGTCTGCCTATCTGAGGTTGTTGATATTTCTTACCGGCAATCTTAATTCCAGTTTGGGATTCCTCCAGTCCAGCCTTCCGCATGATGTATTCTGCATATAAGTTAAATAAGCTGGGGGACAATATACAGCCTTGTCGTACTCCTTTTCCAATTTTGAACCAATCAGTTGTTCCATATCCAGTTCTAACGCTTGATCCTGTCCCATGTATAAGTTTCTCAGGAGACAGATAAGGTGGTCAGGCACTCCCATTTCTTTAAGGACTTGCCATAGTTTGCTGTGGTCCACACAGTCAAAGGCTTTTGCGTAGTCAGTAAAACAGAAGTAGATGTTTTTCTGGAACTCTCTGGCTTTCTCCATAATCCAGCGCATGTTAGCAATTTGGTCTCTGGTTTCTCTGCCCGTTCAAAATCTGGCTTGGACTTCTGGGAGTTCTCGGTCCACATACTGCTGAAGCCTACCTTGGAGGATTTTGAGCATAACCTTGCTAGCGTGTGAAATGAGTGCAATTGTACGGTAGTTGAAGCATTCTTTGGTACTGCCCTTCTTTGGGATTGGGATGTAGACTGATCTTTTCCAATCCTCTGACCACTGCTGAATTTTCCAAACTTGCTGGTATATTAAGTTTAGCACCTTAGCAGCATCATCTTTTAAGATTTTAAAAAGTTCCACTGGAATGCCATCACCTCCACTGGACATGTTTTTAGCCATGCTTTCTAAGGCCCACTTGACTTCACTCTCCAGGATGTCTGGCTCAAGGTCAGCAACTACATTATCTGGGTTGACCGGGACATCCAGATCTTTCTGGTACAATTCCTCTGTGTATTCTTGCCATCTCTTCTTGATGTCTTCTGCTTCTGTGAGGTCCCTACCATTTTTGTCCTTTATCCTGTCCATCTTTGCACAAAATGTTCCTTTAATATCTCCATTTTTTTCAACAGATTGCTGGTTTATCCCTTTCTATTCTTTTCCTCTATATCTTTGCACTTTTCATTTAAGAAGGCCCTCTTGCTATTCTTTGGAAGTCTGCATTCCAGTTTCTGTAACTTTTGCTATCTCCCTTGCATTTTGTTTCCCTTCTCTTCTCTGCTATTTGTAAGGCCTCATTACACAGCCACTTTGCTTTCTTGCATTTCCTTTTCTTTGGGATGGTTTTTGTTGCTGCCTCCTAGACAATGTTATGAACCTCCATCCATAGTTCTTCAGGCACTCTGTCTACCAAATTGAGTTCCTTAAATCTGTTCTTCACTTCCACTGTGTATTCATAAGAGATTTGGTTTAGATTATACTTGACTAGATTATACCAGAAGAGAAGACTCTCTGAAAAAGACCCTGATGTTGGGAAAGTGTGAACGCAAGAGGAGAAGGAGACGACAGAGGACGAGATGGTTGGACAGGGTCACCAAAGCGACCAACACGACTTTGACCCAACTCCGGGAGGGAGTGGAAGACAGGAGGGCCTGGCGTGCTCTGGTCCATGGGGTCATGAAGAGTTGGACAAAACTTAACAACTAAACAACAACAATAACAAAAACCTGACTAGCCCAGTGGTTTTTCCTACTTTCTTCAGTTTAAGTAGTAGCTCAGAATCATTTTAGGGCATGTGTAAATGCTTCTTACGGTATTGAGATATACACATGATGGAATCTTTCCATGGAATTACCGTGTTTCCCCGAAAATAAGACAGGGTCTTATATTAATTTTTATATTAATTTTTGCTCCCAAAAGCACATTAGGGCTTATTTTCAGGGGATGTTTTATTTTATAGTCATCTTTACATGTCATCTTCTGGTTGCTGCACAACGGTGGAGGGTGTGGTTTCTGTTAACTAAGGATTATTTTTTGGGTAGGGCTTATATTATGAGCATCCTGAAAAATCATACAAGGGCTTATTTTCAGGCTAGGTCTTATTTTCGGGAAAACAGGGTAGGTCTATTTTTGATTTCACTGTTTGTATTAGAAATGGGTCAGATCTTTGAAACTGGAAAACACCTGGAAATGATCTCTTTTTTCCACGGGAGGACAAAGAACATGATCAGTTTTCCTTCTGCTATTGTCCTCCCATTCCAGTTTGTGCCAAACCTATACTTGTCGCAGTGTTATTGGATATGTCTGAAAGTTGGCACATTACATAGGATGTCACCTTTAAATTACTATCTCAGCAGCCCTGGTCTCCTAAGCAATAGAGAGCTGAGGCCTCTTATGGTGGAACCCCGTGTGCATTAGAGAAAAAAGACGGGTTACTTACCTGTAACCATCGCAGTGTTATATGTCTGAAAGTTGGCACATTACATAGGATGTCACCTTTAAATTACTATCTCAGCAGCCCTGGTCTCCTAAGCAATAGAGAGCTGAGGCCTCTTATGGTGGAACCCCGCCCCGTGTAGAGAAAAAAGACGGGTTACTTACCTGTAACCATGGTTCTTCAAGTGGTCATTCTGTGAATCCACACAATAAGGGTTAAATCAGCGCCTGCGCTGGTCTCCTCGGAACATTCGAGAGCTCTGTAAAAGAAACATTGTTAGAATGACCTACACTGCGCATGCTCCGCCCACCCAACGCTCAGTTCCATTTATCCGCCCTAGATACCCAGAATGTCGTAGGCATACAGGGACGGATAGTGGGGAGGTTGGGTGGGTTTGTGTGGATTCACAGAATGACCACTTGAAGAACCATGGTTACAGGTAAGTAACCCGTCTTTCTTCTGCGTGGTCTTCTGTGAATGCACACAATAAGGGTGATTAGCAAGCTTGCTTACCGGATGGTGGGCCGTCACTGAAAGATAGAGGTGAGGACTGCTCTTCCAAAAATTGCTTCCTTCTTGGCTCTAACGTCCAACCTGTAGTGTGATATGAAGGTGGACGCTCGTGACCACGTAGCAGTCCTGCAGATATCCGGTAGGTCAACTCCTCGTAGGAGAGCCATTGAGGACGCCACAGCTCTAGTAGAGTGGGCACGCAATCCCTCTGGAGGAGGGCGATGCTGGACCTCGTAAGCTAAAGAGATTGTAGAGACTATCCATCGTGATATTGAAGACGGAGAGGCTGGTAGGCCTTTCTTCTGCCCAAAGAAGCAGAGGAATAACTTGGGGGACAGCCTGAACTCTTTGGTGCGGGCAACGTAGAAGGACAGCGCTCTCCGAACATCAAGGGTGTGGAGCATGCGCTCCGTGTCACTAGTCGGATTGGGAAAGAGTGTAGGAAGAATCAAAGGTTGACTGAGGTGGAATTCTGAGACGATTTTCGGAAGAAAAGACACATCTGTGTGCAGAACGACCTTGTCTTGGAAAAACTGTAGAAATGGCTGGTCAGCCCTGAGGGCCGCTAACTCGCTGGCTCTGCGGGCAGACGTGATCGCTACTAGGAAGGATACCTTGAGAGATAGTAGTTTCAACGAGCACGTGGCAAGAGGCTCAAATGGGGGCCTCATCAA